AGACCGTGATTCAAAGGCAAGCCGTTTAACTGCCTACAAACAACGACTAGCCAATCTACCTTTACGAATTTGCCCATTTGGCATACACACCTCCCCATCGCTATCACCATCCATATCACACAGAAGGACATGATTTGGAAAGGGCATTGGAATCGCCTGACTAAACTCGCTCTTCATTGGGAAGCAGAGTGTGTTAGGGAAACCATTTATGACCCTGGAACAGATGGGATCAAGAAGGTCTACTGCTTGCATGTGTACAAGGGGTTAACAAGAATGTTGGTAAATGGTGTTTCGCGAGATCTGTACTTAAAGTGCTTTTTGCGATGCTTACGATGGTGTCTGCTTCTGCCGACAAAATTACACATCCTCTAATGAAGAGATGCAGACATCTAAATTACAGGCAAATTATGCCATTTTTGAATATTTGTCTGAGTAGCTTCAACTAAGGTTAGTAAGAGATATTCAACGGAATAGAAAATAGAAAAAATTCTTTAACAAGGCCTACGAGGATTAGGTACGGTTCAGATATTTGGAACGCCTTCTTAGAAACCCAATGTATCTTTATTTTAGAGGTTACTTCATCTGGACAGGACCCGATCTATATCAAGTTCTCACCCACGACATCCTTTGCCATTGCAGAGTTTGCTACGACAGCAGTGGCAAAGGTGGCTGAGATTCCAAATGGATCGACATTCACACTTCTCCCTTCGTACTTCGTGTATTAAGCTTAAGATGTGAAAACAAACAAATTTTTAATGACGCTACTAGGGTATGTGAAAAGTCCACTGAAATCACATTCAAGTGCTACTATTCCAGCAATGCCGTGAGGTTTATCAGACAACATTTACGAATGAAAAACAACCCCTCAAATAGCGCCCAAGGTATGTGCTTTTACTACCCTAATATCCCATTTATGCTGTAGGTGATCGTCAAGGATAATTTTATGCAACTTAATGTAAATACGCAACGCGAAACATAAAGCGTCCAATAACATAAGAAGACTGCGATAAATGTGCAAAGGTGAAGACCACAACCTGCATGAGTAGGCTTAATTCAATTGAGGCTACATTCTCTTCTCTTCAAGCCTATTTATTAGAGTATGTGGACTGGTACATTAAATAGAACTTGCAAATATTAAGAACTGACTCCACCTTGAAATCTGTTTAAACAGCAGCAACGTTAGCATTCGCGAAAAATAACTTTCCGCTAAGTGAACTATAAAAAGATCGGACGCACAGTTGTCTGAAAAGGACTAAAAAGTGGACAAAGACTTCCAGTCATATTTCACAGGTCAAACCGTTTAGGGACGTACAATTTACAAATAGATAACACAACAAGGACACCGCAATAACACCTTGACTCACAATAACGACATGCTACGTACAGGTCAGAACTTGATTTAAGACCGGTAGAACGAGCTAATATTATTTTTATGCAGTGCTTCAAACCCTTAACAGGCATGATGATTCAAAGACAGCATGCCTTGCCTTTCAGATGTGCGAGTGGTGGAGGCGATGCGTGGATTATTATTTTATAAAAGCAATTAACCACAATGAAGACGCATCAGCTTTAAAAGTGGACGTCCCTCCATCCTTTTCGATTTCTATTAAAGCTGCTATCTCCTCTGTAGCCAGACAAACTATACGTCCTTCCTCGCCCATTGCAATTATTTTCTGCATGGATAAATGAAAGATTTGACCGTTATGTTGGCAGATAAATGAAAGCATGAAGTTCTGCAACCAAGTTACTAGTCCTTCCAAACGTCAACACTATATCCGCTTTCACGTTGACAGTGGCTTTAAACAGGTATTTAGGTAATAAATCGGTGACAGCGCAGTGGAATATATCAAACCCCGATCACTCACTGCATCCATTAGGGCAAAATCTGTTCACCATCAACTGTGAGTGGTAGAAGCTGTCGGAGCACCTCAGCGATGGCCAGCCCTCCAGCCCCACCCCGGCCTCAACTCCTGCATCAAAGCTAGCAAAAGAAAAGGACTCCTAACGAATGAATTGCAACCTCAAAATCCAAACGCATCACCTTTTCATGCTCTGAGAAACTGGGATTCATGTGGCTGAACACCAGCAATTAGGGCAGCCAAATGAATACAACGAATGGAACCAAATCCAAGATTTTTCAAATTACGTCACCATTGAAATGTTTTACATGATTACTAGGTTTGTTACTATTAGTGGTAGTCTAGTCAAGCCAGTCCAAGTTCGAATATTAGATTTCATTCCTTAAGACGATTTTCTGCTACATTTGATTACGTCTTTCGTTGACGCTGAAGTAATGCCGGATAAACGTCTACGCAACAGAAGTTGTCTTTTACGATTGCGAATTAGGGAAGCATCCGACTTATACTCAGTTCTTTATTCGTTGTGCTCTGGCTCTCCGATGGCGATGCATGGATTAGGCGTTCCTCGAACTGGAATAACGGTGATGGTTAGGACGCGGCCATGGCGCCAGAGATCGTCGCTGATCGGAATGCACACCCGATCGTCGTTGAGACCATCACTGACTACTATTGCTTAGCCCATTGTGCTTGGGGTCGTTTATGGGTTCGCATTTCACGTTTTTGTTCACAAGACGCCTCGTTATCAACTCGTTCTGCTGCATGCTGTCTTCATGAACGATGTTTACGTCTGGACTGGATCAGCTTACCGCTTGAGCGCCACTTGTCATAGGCAGCATGGATTGGTGCTTTGAGGTGGTGTGATAAGACGGACCTGCAATTCGCCACTGCTTGTCGTCGCGCATCCACGGTGCATGTATGGTACCGTAAATTTCGAAGACGGATCTTTACTTGAAAGCCACCGCTACGAAGTACCTGTAAAAGTAGGCTGGTGAATGTGAGCACGTAGTGAGCGCGATTAGAACGTCACACTAAATCAAGAGACGCTAAAGAGGCGGAGTTCAATTCATACAAAATTTAGGAGCTTGTTAGCCAACGGTATCAGTATTTTGGTTCCACAGCGCCACCATACAAATTCATTCAATTCTACTTTCTTATGGACTCTTTTCAATTTATCCGCCTGTAAGTACAATTATTATTCCAAGTTGTTTCTTTCGTGGTTATTTTATTTGTAACTTTATACGGCCCACGATTCACCCTCTTCGTCAGAAATATGTAGCATATGTTCTTTACTCATTGCTAATAAGTAGGTTAATCGACCTAACTTGAGTATTTTGGATGTAAGATAGATTCTCTTACGTGTCCATAAGTCTCATCAGTTGAAGAGGTCATCGAGGTGGTGCATGATCATTGTGTGTCACCGAGGAACAAAGGCCATCCGGACTGCGATGGTCGTTTTTTTCCACATCGAGATCCTCACTTCGACTGCAGTATTGCAGAGTAAAATGCGATTATCCATTTTGCCCCAACAAACATCTTCAACTCTATCACATTTTTTGGACTTCTGTACTCTGCATTGTTTGCCTCAATGTGCAAACTTTTCTACACGTGCCCTATTTTATTTAAGTAGTATTGCAAGTTTTGAAACATTTCTTCGTGAAACCTTGGTCAAAGACGATTATATAAATTACTTTGATGCATTTCTAACCAGAATAATCGACAAGTCCGTTAAATTTTGCACGAACACCTTTGGAAATAGGTTTCTTTTACTTTGACTACGTGGTAGCCGTGCAATTTCTGAATTTGCTTCGAATGCGTCTATCTACTGCAGAATAAGGATCGACCTTTACCTTTTATTCCATCCAACTCAGAATTCTTCTATACAGTACTCATCTTCTAGTATATCAATGGAAGCGAAAAATCGAATGCTACTCATCAGTTAGCAATGGAAATGGTTTTCGAATAGCAGACAATTTCAACTTGAATATCGCCCCAAATTCAAGTCTTGATGCATTTAGCATGACATGCGGTTAGAAATTGGATTTATACGATGGTTGTGTGGCGCTTTAAGGCTCCTGTGAAGACGAATGACGACATAACGCGCAGGCAGAATGTGGACTGTCGGTATGCGGCAGGGCTGGGGGCTTCTGGCATGACTTAGAGGCGGGGCAGCTCGGCAAATGTACTACCGAAACCAAGCGTTAAAAAACCGTTAATTAAGTAAAATTGCATTCTTATAAACAAGTCAGTTTAAAAAGGCAATATGTGTTGTGGACGAATTTTGGTGAAACTTTAAAGCACATTCTCAATTTCACTTTTAGCCAAGATATTAGCAGTCGCCTTCAAAAGCGATAGAACTATTTTTTTCTTTTACAGCTGCATTTGATTCACTTCTTATATGTATATTAGTGAATCTAACTACTCGTAGCGAATAAAATCAGAAATAATCCAGCAAAAAGTTTTTGTTTTGTGTGGTGTGTCAGTAAACTCTTTCATTCCGTATAGGAGGTTGGTGCGTTAGACTTAAAAGATGATTCCCCTGCTTCTGCGAGT